TGCGCACACATTTTGCGCTGTCTCCGGCACCCCGCGTCATCTCGCCTTATCAGAGGTGCTGACCACCTGCGCGAATGACTTGCTCGTTGCGTTGCGGCTGTGGGTGTGCTGTGGGTGTGCTTGTCGTGCGGCGAGAGCGCGCATACAAACCCAAACAAACCAGGGCCTCGTTTTGCTGCTGCATGCATGCGTCGTTCCTCCCTCACGTCAGTCGGTCATTAACATCGTCGTCGCCGCCATCACCAACTTGCTTGTCATTGTATTGTCGCATTTACAGCACAACAACTTCCGGTCTTCTTCTTCGTTTGCTGCTCCACTATCCAGAAGAACAACGCAGACATGTCCAAGGTGTTCCACCTCAACCTCAGCACCTGCGGCCTTGGCTTCACCATCGCCGGTGGTGTCGACGCCCCTCTGGAGGATGGTATGTTTGTTTTCTCCTGTGTCTATGTGTGTGTGTGTGCATGTGTGCGTATGTATGTGTGTATGTATGTATGTGTGTGTGCGTGTGTGTCTGTGTGTGCGTGTGCGTGTGCGTGTGCATCCGCCCTCACGCGTAAGCACACGTGCACTCGCCCCCAACTCACCCGCACGCCCTTCTCTCTCAACTCTCTCAGGTTCGACGGCCATTGTGGTTCGCGACATCCACGAGTGTGGCGCTGCACGCAAGGCCGGCCTCCATGTTGGCGACAAGCTCATCTCCGTCAACCACAAGCCGCTTGTCAACGTCACTCACCAGGATGCTGTTGAGCTCATCAAGGACGCCATCCCTTCCCAGGTGCGCACATTCACGCCGTGTATGTGTGTGTGTGTGTGTGTGCTCTGTGTCACGTTGTTTCTTGGCTTGTTTCCTGCTTCGTTTTCCAAGAACACACTCACACACGCATCCAACTCCCTCTCCACTCCCTGTCCACTTCCCTCCCCTCTCTCGTCAATACGCTCGTTAGCACGTGACGCTTGAGGTGGATCGCGCAAACATGATGTCTGACGTCACCGTGGACAAGGGCGACGGCGCAGCGGCCGACCGCCTGACCCTTGCTCGCAAGGCCTTTGAGGCGCATGACCCCGAGCTGTCTCGCCTGGCCCACGAGCTTGGCGCAGCGCCAGAGCGTCACCAGACCGAAGCCGGCCAGTACGTCAAGGCTGCTGTGTTTGGTGGCATGGATGGCATTGTCACCACGTTTGCCGTCGTCGCCTCTGTCAACGGTGCCGACCTCGCAACTGGCGTCGTCATCATCATGGTGTGTGTGTGTGTGTGTGTGTGTGTGTGTGTGTGTGTGTGTGTGTGTGTGTGTGTGCTTTGTGCCTTTGCGCGCGCGTGTGTTTGCTTGCTTGCATGCTTGTTCGCATGCATGCTTGTTCGCTGGCTTTTGTGTTCGTCTCCACCCCAAACCTCAGTCCCCAATTTCTTTCTTACCTCACACCTCGATCCCAACTCCTCGCACCCACCCAACACCGCACGCCAGGGCTTTGCCAACCTGATTGCTGACGGCATCTCCATGGGCATGGGCGAGTTCATGAGCGCCCTGTCCGAGTCCCAGTACACTCTCTCGGAGCGCGTGCGCGAGGAGTGGGAGTTTGACCACAACCCGGAAGGCGAGATCAAGGAGATGGTGGACCTGTACATGGAGAAGGGCTTCTCCGAGGAGGAGGCGACACAGATTATGACCATCATGGCAAAGCACCGCGAATTCTTCATTGACCACATGATGGTGGAGGAGCTCGGTCTGATGCCACCGGACGAAGGCGAATCCCCCGCAAAGAACGGCCTCGTCATGTTCCTCTCCTTTGTCGCCTTTGGCCTCGTCCCTCTCCTTTGTAAGTGCTGACACACAATTCGTGCATGCGTGAGCCGGGCGTGCCGCGTTTCGCCTGCGCCTGCTGCATGTGCACTATTCCAATCTGGAGTGCCGTCTCGTTCTCTCCCCCAACTACACAGAATGTGCTTTCGTTTCCCTCACTTTTCACCACCCTCTTCTCTATTCTCACCTGCCATCCTTGCCTCCTCATTTCACGTGGTGTCTGTGCGCCTGTGTGTGTGTGTGTGTGTGCGCCTGTGTGTGTGTGTGTGTGTGTGTGTGTGTGTGTGTGTGTGTGTGTGTGTGTGTGCAGCGTACCTTGCCCTCAGCACCGTCGACTTTGGCAGCAACAAGAGCGACGCCCTGTTTGGCATTGCCTGCGCCATGACCGCTGTTGCCCTGTTCATCCTCGGTGCTGTCAAGAGCCGCTTCTCCACCCAGTCCTGGTACATGTCGGGCTTCTCCGTCGTCATCAACGGCGCCGTCTCCGCTGGCGCCGCCTACCTCGTCGGCCTCGGGTGCGTATCTTGGGCCATCTCTGCATGCTTTCGCGTCAATGCACTCTGCTGTGCTTGGTTTTTTTTTTTTTTTGCGCGCGCGTGTGATTGTGTTGTAATTTTATGTGTGTGTGTGTGTGTTTACGTGCGTTGCTTGTATGAACGTGAGGAAACGTTTCTGTGTGTGCTTTTGTTTGCCGATGTGCACATGCACGCATCACAAACTAGTGAGCACGTGTTTTTCTTGAACGTGAACCAATGCTAACGTCCCGTCTCCCCTCACCGCCTCACAACCTTGCCACCATGCATCTTCAGTCTTGAGAACCTCGTGAGCTTGAACGATTGCCCATGAGCGAAGCAATGCCCCAACGTCAACCGTGCATCCATATCCACATTGCTTTTGGTTTCCCCTTTCGCTTACATCTCAGCCAGACCCTGTTTCCTTGAATTTTTTTTTTTTTTTTGGTTTTGGCCCCCATTTCTTCCTGACTCTCCTTTATTCTGGAACCTTTTCTTGTTTGAACTGCCCCTTGATGTTTGTCTTTGTGCCACTCCTCTTGATGCGTGGGCATGCACCCACCCACCCAATACATGCACATCGTTTCCCTTTGTCTCCCTCAGTCTTCTTTTCCTGTTTTGTATTATGAAAAGTAACAACCACACTTCGTCCATCTGTCGTTTGGCTGTTTGTTGGTTGGGTGCTTGTTCTCCCAACTGTGCTGTGTGCTGCGTTGTGTGCTCAGTTTTGGTTTATCGAGACAGGAGCACGCAAGCCCTTGTTCCAACCGTGCGCACGGAACACACCCTCACGAATTACACAGCAACACACGATATCACTCGCAGGGCAAAGAGAAAAGGAAGCGAACCAAACTGTGAAGAAGGAACAAAGAAAGAACACGTGCGAAGAGAGAAACGAGCATGAAAACACACACGCACACACACACACACACACACACAACCTATCATCAAGCAATGTGCAGAAAGCAAAACCAAAAAGGAGGAGAGGTTTGGGTGGACGAGTTGATGACAAACGACAACAAACCGACAACAGGCCACAGTTGAAAATGATGCGATGGCGAGCGCACACCAGCCTTGGCACAAACGCGAGTGTCAACATGACACAACACCACTCCCCTCCCCTCTTCCAAAATGCGGCACAACCATGTTCAGCGCGTGCGGCACATCAGCACGACGCCGTGAACAGGTGCTCAACGCTGTCCGTGTTCAAGTGGAGGACAAGCTGGCGCACAAACTGCATCTCCTTCTTGGTGTTGTTGAAGATGACAAGCGGGTCGTCGCTCGGGCAGCGCAGGAAGTTTGGTGCCCACACCATCGCCAAGTTGTCGTACGTCATCTTCGTGTGCGCGTGGTTCTCCGGTCGCCCAACCAACTGGACAGGTAAGGGTGTACACAAGGACGTTGTTGGGGCGAGAAGAGAGGGGGGGTGTGAGTGAGTTGCTTAAGGAAGGCAGGGTATCACATGCTGCCCACATATGCGTGCGCAAACGCACAAAGGTCACACACACACACACACACACACACACACACACACACACACACACACACACACAGGACGCACGCACACAGCAATACACACCTGAAGGAAGCGGGTGATGAAGAGGACAATGTTCTTGTTGACTGAGGGAAGCTTATCAACCACAGCAACAGCCTTGGCTGAGTCCTGGCTCGCCGCCACACACTCATCGTACAAGTCCTCGGGAACAATTGGGTCGGTCAGCTCTCGGAACCAGAGCTTGAGGGTCGAGGCCGGCACGTGCGGGTCGTGCAGGTTGCTCGGCGCCTGCCCGCGGTCCATCTGCAGCTTCAGCGCATTCACAGCGTCAATGTCGCCAGGTACCCTGTGTTCACGGATGGACACGCGCATCGGTGAAGGCGTTCCAAGACGCATGTGTTGCCGTTGTTGCGTGAGATGCCGTGGAGAGCATTTGTTCAGCGACACGAACACACGCGCACAGAGAAAGAAAGGCGGGCAGACAAATCGAAAAAAACATCACATGTCGACACAAGCACACACACATGGACACGTGCACGCCCACACAAATCACACACACACACAAATCACACAAGAATCACACGCCCAAGCACACGCCCAAGCACACGCCCAAGCACACGCCCCCAAGCACGCAAGTGTACCTGAAGATGCCCTCTGTGTGTGTGCCGCCAAGCTCGAGGACGGCGTTGGAGAGGACCTGCAGCACGCGCGGGATGGACAGCTCGGGGTGCGTCTCATACTGCAGCGCCATAATCTCATCCAGGCTCGACCCAAACACAGACGGGTTGCGCAGCTTGCGCTGGAATGGCGTGTGCGTTGGTGTGTGTGTGTGTGTGTGTGTGTGTGTGTGTGTGTGTGTGTGTGTGTGTGTGTGTGCGCAGGCGTGCAAGGACGTGGATGAGGAGATGAACAGGGAGGAGTGACTGATAGTACTCTGCGCAACTACAAGCAGCAGGTATAGCAGCTAGAGGCAGGTACAGCAACAAGTAGCGAGCGACGCGCGACGTGGCTCACCGCTGCGTTTTCAATGTCGTCCTCTGACGGCTGCTGTGCGCCCTGCTTGCGTCCCGTCTTGGCTATTCTGATGAGCCGCTTGAAGCACGCCTCGCTCAGCACACCAATGTCCCCTGGCTGGTCCTCAATGTGTCGTGCGATATACCCCTTGAGGTACGTGAAAAACTTGGTCGTGGGTGGGAAAAAGTTGAGCGCAATTCCCATCAGCTCCCAGCCGCGCTCACAACTGTCCCTGTTGTGTGTGTTTATTTGTGTGTGTGTGTGTGTGTGTGTGTGTGTGTGTGTGTGTGTGTGTGTGTGTGTGTGTGTGTGTGTGTGTGTGTGTGTGTGTAGGTGGGTGGGTGGGTGGGTGCGTTAGACATGAATGGTGTGTATCATACACGTGAACACCATGAATGAGTACACACGTGCATTGTGTAACGGCTCCACTCAAAGCAACTGTGAATGTATGCCCTTGCAGACAGTTGTGCTGATGTATTGCTGACAAATACGCCAGGTGCGACCATCCCACAGCACTTACAGCTTTGTGTTCCCCGTTGTCTGTTTGCAGAGCTGCACGAAAAATTCGTCTCTGAGGCGGGCGTCAGACTCGTCCCAGCACATGGACATAATCTCCTTCGCGACCGCATACGGCGTGCGCCCTAAACACAGCAGCAGTCATTGTTGTGGTGGTGGTGCAATGTGGTTGTGAGTCAGGCAAGCCTAAGGAGCAGCAGTCACAAGGGCAGCACAACGCACGTTCGCACCGCGCACACAATCACATGCACACATACACACATGCATACATACGCACACGAACAATCACAGGCATTCACACACGCATGCACACACGCACACGAACAATCGCATGCACGCACGCTCTGAGAACACTGAAGACGCACAAGTAGCCAAACCAGTACACACACACTCTCTCTCTTACACCCCGAACACATTGGACGCACCTTTTGCGTTTCTGTCGCCCATGTACATCTGTGAGAGCTTGAACATCTCCAGCGCCTGCCGCTTGTGTTCCTTCTTCAGGGTGAGCAGCATCGGCCTCGGTATTGCGCTCGGGGACCACGACAGCATGTTGTGCAGCGATACTTTCCTGCGGAAGAGGCCCTTCTTGTGTGTAGCCAGGTTGTGTTTGAACGTCTTGAGATCTGGCGAGCTGCTGGCAACCTCGGAGTAGTCCATGGCCGGCGCTGTCAGGAGACACCACCAGCAACAGCGGCAGCAGTGGTGGCAGTAGTGGCAGTGGTGATGAGGAGGGGAGGGGCGGGGAAGCACAAGGATGAGTTTCAAATTCAGCGAACGAGCGGTGCACATGCAAGCGCAATGACTGGAACAGGTTGTGAAGAGGTTGTGAGTGGGCAACACGGCCATGAGGGCCCGTAGAACGACGTATGAACAGGGTCACCACAGTTAGACAGGTTCATAGCAACATACGCTTTGGTGGCTTTGGTGGTTGTGCACCGCCTGGCTGGTGCTGTTGTTGTGTGTTTGGCTGTTGCGCTTGCATGATGATTTGCGACTTGCGCTTTGCAGCGACGGGCGGGCCCTGTGAACTGCGGCGTGATGCTGTTGTGGGAGCAGCTTGCTGCTGTACGTGCTGCGCCTGCTGTGCTTGTGTTTGTGCTTCCTGCCCTGTTGCAGTGCCTCTGCGCGACTGACCTTCCTCCTTCTCCACGATTTGTCGTTGTGTCTCCTGCGAACCAGCGTGGTCGCATAACAGGGTGATTGGCGAGCATGCGTGTGTGTGTGTGTGTGTGTGTGTGTGTGTGTGTGTGTGTGTGTGTGTGTGTGTGTGTGTGTGTGTGTGACAGAGAGAGTGTGTGTGTGAGGGTGTGTGTGACGGAGTGTGTGTGAGGGTGTGTGTGACGGAGTGTGTGTGTGTGTGTGTAGGTGTGTGTGTGTGTGTGTGTGTGTGTGTGTGTGTGTGTGTGAGGACACGGCACGCGTGAGCGTGTGCATGTTGTATCCACCTCGCCTACACACGCACACATGCACGCACACAACGCAGGTGTTAGGAAATGCACGTACCTGGAGCTTGGCAAGCGGCACAATGTCACCATGCTGGGGCCGATCCCAGACTGTGACCTTGGTTGTGGCATTGTAGTAGTATGCACGGCCAGAGTTTGCATCCTTCAACTCCCACCATTGATCCTCAGAGCAGGGTTTACTGCGGGGCAGAGTCACAGAAGAGGGGTGAGTGCGCTACACGTCAACCGCGTGCAGGACTGCTGTTGTCCGACACACGCATAAACCAGCACCAAACTCGCACACACACAACCCACAATGCATACACACATGCACACACACAAACATGTACACGACACGCAGACACGCACACACACACACACATGCACACGACACGCACACCCGCCCGCTTGGAAGAGAGCGGCTTACAAGCTGGCGCCAGCTGGCGGTTTCCACAGGCATTCGCCAGACGTTGTGTTGGCATACACCTTCCGCCCCGAGCTGGGCTCGATGATCTCGACCCAGCTGTGTGGCTTGTCCCTGTGGCAAAACACAAGAATCCAAAGGGCGGTGAGGCTCGTGCGGCTGGCAGGTGAGGCGTGCTGTACTGACAGCCACGGCCTACAAGGAAGGGATCCAAACAAGAGACACAGCTCCCACCCACAGTGTCAACACCAACCAAAACACACCGCGCGCAGCACCACCACGCAAACAACTGCTACGACTCACGATTCCATTGCGTGCTGTGTGTGATGTGATGTGTGCTAGGTGCACGTGTGTGTGTGTGTGCTAGGTGTACGTGTGTGTGTGTGTGTGTGTGTGTGTGTGTGTGTGTTTGAGAGTGTCCCAAACAAGATGGGGTGGATGGAGGTGGAGGGGTGTGGATGTTGTTGTTGTTGTTGTTGGCCCAATCTCAGCAGCGAGCGAGCGTCAGCCAGTCAGCCCAGTTGTCGTGGTGGATAGAGCGCCAACGCCAGAGTGCGTCCCTGCGGAAATCTGCCGGAAGACTTCAGCACAAATCTTGGAATTTTCTGGCAGGCCACAACACCACAAGTTAAACCGGAAAAGAACCCCAAACACTGCAAGCGCGAAGCAGCGAGCAAACGCACCAACCAAGACAGAGACACGTTGCTGCACACCACGTCTCATTCACCCCACATCCAAGACACAGCCAAACCAACAATAATACTCTTCTGACTGAGAGCGTTGCCACGCGCGTCTTCCCAAAGCACACGTTAGCAGCCATGGCCAAGTGGGGAGAAGGGGACCCGCGCTGGATTGTCGAGGAGCGTCCAGACGTCGCAAACGTCAACAACTGGCATTGGTGAGCCCCAGGGGCGGGTGGGGTGATTGTGTTTGGAATGTGAGACTGCGCGGCCCTATGTGTGTGTGTGTGTGTGTGTGTGTGTGTGTGTGTGTGTGTGTGTGTGTGTGTGTGTGTGTGTGTGTGTGTGTGTACGTGTGTGGGTGTGTGTACGTGTGTGTACGTGTGTGGGTGTGGGTGTCGTGTCGTGTGTGGGTATGTGTGTGTGCACTTTGTTGCTTGTAAGCCGCTTGCGCCCTCTATCGTGTGTACCGTGCACCAGTTCACTCAACGTGTTTGGCTGCACGCTGCTGCTGCCGGTAGGACGGAGAAGAACGCCACACCTTGGTCCAGGCAGTTTCTGCAACAGGAGCTCAATGGGCTGGAGGTCTCCTCGGATGCAGGCACCGTCACCTTCTCAGATGTCCAGGTCGAAGGTGAAGCCACCGCCAAGTACGTATTGCACACACACACACACACACACACACACACACACACACACACACACACACACACACACACACACACACACATTCACCCCACCGACCACACGTGTGTGTATGTGTAGTGTATGTGCATGTGCTGTCCGTGCTTCTGCTTGACCGCATGCTGCCCGTGCTTCTGCTTGACCGCAAACACATGTTCATGTGTTAATGTTGCTTCAGGACGCTTGTGCTTGCTTGCTGTCCACCTCGCTTGCGTTTTCTCACACTGAATCATGGTCACACACGCTCACTACAGCAACCGCAAGGCAAAGCTCATCTTCTTCTATGAGCTGGAGGTCTCCATGAAATGGAAAGGTTCGCTCCCTTGCCTGCAGCGGCTGCAGCTCTGCTCTTGCTGCAACACTTCCCCTCTTCCCATCTCACCTTTGTTGCTTCGGGTCCTCTTTCCCTTGTGTCTCACAACGGTTACCGCCTCCAAAATGGCTGCGCAGGCAAGACAGCGGATGGCAAGAGTGTAAGCGGCAAGTTCAAGGTGGAAAATCTCAGCGAAGAGTACACCCCGGATGAGTTTGAGGTGCGTGTATCCGCTTGAGATGGAGCGCAGACATGTGTCTACTTTGTGGTTCGTGCACAATATCTGCGTTTCGTGTGCACGTGCCTGCGTGTGCCCAGCCGGGCCCACATTGCTGTATCTTTGATGTTGTTGGCCTTCTTGTTGCCTTTTCCCTGTCTCTTTGCTCTTGTTTGTTTGCAAGCTACTGCTTCCTGCTGTCTTCTCCTCGCTCAGCCATAACGCTGGTGCTTGCACGCGTGCATGTGGTTTGCAATGTGTGTTGTGTGTGTATTCATGTGTGTGTCTGTGTGTGTATTCATGTCTGTGTGTGTGTGTGTGTTGTTTTCGGTTTTCTTCCCCAGTTTGAGGTGAACATGAGCAGCGAGGAGACGCCAGCGAGGCGGGCGGTGAAGGAGATGGTGCGCAAGGCCGGCGCCGAGGCCGTCAGGGCAAAACTCGACAAGTGGTACAAAGTGCGTATCCCGCTCACACGCATGACATCGCGTCATCAATGCACGCACACAAGCACATCCTTGCACATGCATTTTTTTTTGTTTTGCGTTACTATGTGAGAGTGTGAGCACCACTAACAGTGCTATCGCACTGCTTGGCCGTGTTGTAGGAGCTGCGCGTGGAGTTTACAAAGGGCATGATTCTCCCAACAAAGGCGAAGGTGTGTGTGTGTGTGTGTGTGTGTGTGTGTGTGTGTGTTGTGTGTGTGGTAGATTGCGTCAATGTCGTCTCAGCCCTGTGCCTGGGTTTGGTCGAGTGCACTCGTGTTTGCAGTGAAAATCCCAAGACAGCGGCCCCACTGCCCTCTATATGAGTCTCCTAACCCCTGTCACCTGTTTGCTTTGTCTCTGTGTGTGTGTGTGTGTGTGTGTGTGTGTGTGTGCAGCAGGCTACCCCGAGCGCGCCGACAAGTGGGGTGATCATCCACTCTGAGAAGAAGGACGCATCGTCCTCTGCTGTGGAAAAGAAGGAGAAGGAGGTGCAGCCGCGCGGGTCCTTTGAGATGGACGAGGAATTTCTCTGCAGCCCATCAGACCTCTTTCAGTGCTTTGTCGACGAAAACGTGCGTACACCCTTTCGCCTTGCATGTGTAGACTGCTGCTTCTTGGCTGGTGTTTGGGGCGGGAGGATGATGTGCGGTTGGTGCATGTTGTCTCTTGTTCATGATCCGTGCCCTCATCTCCTGGCAACAACCAACACACACACACACACACACACACACACACACACACACACACACACACACACACACACACACACACACACACAGCGGGTGAAGGCGTACACGCAGGCTGACGCGAGCATTGAGGCGAAGATGGGCGGTTCGTTTTCGCTCTTTGGTGGGAACGTCACGGGTGTCATCAAAGATCTGATTCCAAACGAGCGCATTGTGCAGGCCTGGCGCTTCAAGTCCTGGCCCGAAGGTGCGTGCGTGTGTGTGTGTGTGTGTGTGTGTGTGTGTGTGTGTGTGTGTGCGTCTGCCTGTGTGTGTGTGTCTGTCTGTCTGTGTTCTTGCTTCATTGGGTTTGCCTTACTGACTCTCATGTCACATCACCCATGATTCACAGGCATGTACTCTGAGGTGACAATGAAGTTTGTGCCCGGTGATGGCTGCACGCACCTCAAGCTCACACACAACAACATCCCCGACAGCGACCTGGAGCGAGCAAAGGTTTGCGTGTGTGTGTGTGTGTGTGTGTGTGTGTGTGTGTGTGTGTGTGTGTGTGTGTGTGCGTGCGTGTGTGTGTGTGTGTGTGTGTGTGTGTCTCCTTTCACCTGGTGTGCCGTTGTTCTGTCCCAGCTGGCGTTGACCGTACCGTGCTCGCTGACTCACTGTTTTGTCCCCGTTGCGTGCGTACACAGGAGGGCTGGAAGCGCCATCAGTTTGAGCGCATCAAGGGCATGTTTGGCTTCGGCACCTCGCTCGCTGGCCTCATGTGAACACCGCCCCGCGATGATCATGGCATGTGTGTGTGTGTGTATGTGTGTGTGTGTGTGTGCACGGGTGTGCACTGCATACCACGCTGGTATCTGTGTCACTTGTCATTGCTGTCGCCGTTTCGCCTCGTTGTGCTTTGCTTGCTGGCTTGCTTGCTTGTTGTCATGTCACGATACTCGTCGTAGTTGGTTCGGTGTACTGGAAGAATACAACCTCTTTGAGATGCAGCTAGTGAGCGACTACGAAGCAGGGCAGTAGAAGTGAAAGGAGAGGCTGGAGTACAGGTGGAAAGACGAGGTGGGGAGGGAACAGGCGGGAACAGCGGTGGCGTCTGGCCTGCAGACGAGAGAACGCAAATGTGGAAAGGGAACAGGCGGCAGGGGATGGACACTGCATGTGGCTATGAAGGAACTGATAAGAGGGACACTGACACGGAGAGGCACGCACGCACAGGTACAACGGAGAGGTCACAGCACACACGCATGAGTGCACACACACACACACACACACACACACACACAACTGTGCACAGATGCACGCATGCAACACACACGCACAGACACATGCACACAGACACATGCACACAGACACACACACACATGCACGCACACACATACACACATGCACGCACACACATGCACACACACACACACACACGTGTGACCTCGATTGCCAACCCTGACTATGAGCGGCTGCTTTACACCGTCAACGTGGTGAGCGCAGTGTCTTCAAGACAGTGTGGGTGGGGGGGGGAGGGCAGCACGCCAGATGTGTCAACTCATCGTCGCATGGCGTGCTGCGGTGCTGCTGTGCTGCGGTGCTGCGGTGCGGGCGTGCTTGTGCTGTGCGGTGCTCAGGCGAGGACGGACCGCGGCTCGCAGGGCACGTGTGGCGGGCACAGGTGGCACGCGCCCGAGTAGCAGAGCAGGGCCAGGATGACGACGAAGATGGTCAGGCAGCGGTAGCACACATTCTCAATGTACACGAGGTAGGCAATGAGCAAGAGGATGAGCTCTTTAGGAATGAGGCCGCCGGCTTGCGGGGACGCCACCAGCCATGCAGGCAGCATCAACACCAAGCACATCATGGTTGCAGATTGCCTTGTTTGTTGCTGTTGTCTCTTTTGTGTGTGGTTTTGGTGCGGAAGTGAGACGTGGTTTGGTGCGTGTTGACGTTGTGGTGTTGGGATGTGATTGATGTGATGCGACTCTTGGCGTGTTGGTGCTCCATTTCATGTCACGTTGACGACAGGTGTTGTCGTGATGAGAGTGGACTTGGGGAAGCGTGGACCGAAACAAGCCATTTGTGTGTCATACAAACAGCAACAGCCTTGACAGGACAAGACAGCGACAGCGACAGCGACAGGACGACACACAAAGCAGGTCGGTTGATGGGTGAACAGGTGCTGGTGCAGGTGAACAAGGGAGGGGTGTTGAACGCAGCAAGGGTACGGGCAAGAAGCCGCGGTCCTGGCTCGCCGGCCATCTTGCTTGGTTTGGTTTAGTCGAGGCGAATGCCGCCAAACTGGCCCGTGATGGCGACGACCATGTTGGTCACCGCCTGCAGCTGGGGACCGGCCTTGACGGTGTATTTGAGGTCCGTGTAGCCCCACCTGCGCACCCATCACACGCGGAAGGGGGGGGAAGAACACGTCGCAATCGGGTGTGTTTGTTGATCAGCGCAATGAGGAAGGCAGGGAAGGCATGTGCAAAACCGACGAGAAGCGAAGAGGACATGTGCAACATGGAACAACATGGAACGTAATGCTGTGCCGCAAACGTGTGCGCAAAACAGCGAGAGGGGGGAGAGAGGAGGCATGCATGCGATCAATCAAGCAAGCAACCAAGCAAGCAACCAAGCAGGTCAGGGGCAGACATGCGTGCAACCAAAGAACGCCTTTCAGATACAAAACGAAACAGGCGTCCTCAAGTGCACAAGACGGAGGCAACGCACCAGTCAAAGCAGCCTTGTGGATTCTCCGGCATCATCATGGACTTCTTCACCTAGTGCATGAAGAGCAAGCAAGGGACAACAATTGAAAAGCGGATGGAGCGACGAACGCATTAGTTTGCCATGAGCGCACCCTCAAGATGAAGCAATGGTGTGGCAGCAGGTGGCACTTGTTGAGATCACACGCACAGAAGCGCATACATATTCAGACAGAGACGGTCGCAGACGCAAAGAAGCACAACACGCAGTAGTGACAGAGGCAGAGGTAGAGATGCACAACGAGACTTGCACACAGACGTGCACATGCACACGCACACATGCACACGCACGCACGCACGCACACACACACACAGTACCTGTGGGTAGAGGATGACGAGGTTGTTGGTTTCGGCGTACTCGTTGAGACCGTTGTGGACGACAAACTCCTCGCCAATGGTGCCAATGTCCTGGTTGCAGCCATGGAAGGTGACAACGAGACGGCACTTGGTGCCGCTGGAGCACTGGCGCGGAATGTACGCAAACCCGGCCTCGCCAAAGCTGATGTGGCCGGGGCTACCGGTCTTGACATACTGGGACTGCTCGAAGCGCAGCATGTTGCCGGGAACAAAGGTGCCTGCGGGCTTGATGTTGCCGTCGTAGATGTGGTTGAGGAAGTCGCCCACGGCGTCGAAGCTGCAGTTGTTGATGTACGGGTCGCCCAGGAAGTCGCACGAGTGGCCATACGTGGTGGTGATCCAGGCGTGCTCCGCAGGGTAGCTGTCGATGTACTTGATGTTGCTGGTGTTGTTCACGAAGCGCTCGTAGAACTCCTTTGTCTTCTCAACAACGCCGGACTTGACAACCGTGTCGCGCTTGCCCGTCCAGATCCAGACCTTGTCCCCGCTCATGTTGGAGGTGTCGTCGATGGCGTTGAGTGTTGCCGCGGTCTTTGCGGCCTGGACCAGCTTGTCCACCTGGATCAGCATGGGCTCCTTCATGCAGTTCATCAGGGCGGCTTCCATGTTGGCGTGGGCGCAGTCGTACGGTGGGCCGGCAAAGATGGCCGCCCCCACAAGGTTCGAGCTGTGCGCAACATGGAACTGGGATGCAAACGCTCCACCAGCACTGATGCCTGGCCAGTGAAAAAAAGAAAAAAGAAAAAAAAAAAGCAGGTGGGCGGTGGATGTGAACGCGCGCGTAGATGTGAACGCGCGCGTGAATGAGAACGCGCGCGTGAATGAGAACGCGCGAAGATGTGAGCACACGCACGAGCACACGAGCACACGCACGAGCACAAACACAAGCGCGCACAAAGCACACACACAAAGCACACACGAAGCGTACACAAGCAGGACGCTGCACTTTTTCGCTTTGTGGCTCACCAGCAACAGAGATGGCGTCAATGTCGATGTTCAGGCGAGGGAGAGGATCGGCAAGAGCTGCAGTGCTGCCCACTGCCAGCACACACGCAATCGCAAACCACTGGCCACTCATATTGGGTATCGGCGCAACAGCAAACAACAAACAACAGGCAGGACAGCTTCGAGCTTGGAAAATTAATGGACATCGTTTATGGAAAATCGATGGCGGGGAATGCACACAGCGAGGTGGCGGAGACGAGCGGAAGAATTGAGGCAACACACGACAACACACGACAACACACACACACACGCATACACACACATACACATACACACACATTGTCTAGCTGAGCAAGTAACGAATCAGGATGGCGCACACAGCGGCAACGGCAGCCCACGTGAGACCGCGCATCAGGTGGCCTTTTCGCCACTCTTCCAGCGCTGCCTCGTCCATTTCCTCGCCGTCATCCTCGTCCTCATCATCGCCGTTCCCAGGTTTGCTCGGATCAAGCGCAGAACCCATCATACGCTTGTACATTCTGCTCACAATTGCGCACGCGCGTGTGTGTGTGTATGTGTGTGTGTGTGTGTATGTGTGTGTAGGGGGGGGGTTAGGGGGGACAATACAGAGCCATCCGCATGAGCTAGGATCAAAGACGTTGTACGCATGCGCAT